ACGTCGGGCTGGATCGGGTCGTGGACTTGGCCAGGTCGGATGTTAGAGTCTGGCCGATCCTGTGCGGCTGGATGCCGCTCTTGCTGGTGACGAAGGCTGACCGTTTGCCCGCGATCAGCTGCGGCTTCGTCACCTTCTTGAGCGTCCTCACGCGTAACTGCTCCTCCTCCACGATGTTGACCTCGGGTCCTGGTCGTAACTCAGGGTCACGGGCGTGCCGAAGACGCAGTCCGAGCAGAAACCCTGATGACTGCAGGCCTCGAAGGTCGTCTCGCCGCAGGCGATGCAGTCCTGAAGGGGCTCGGTAGCGCACGTCGTGGGGTAGGTAGCCTCCGGCAGCATAGCAAGCGTGAGGCTAGGAGCTGGTGCTGCGGTAGAACAGCAAACCAAGGCTGAGGCGACGGCCGAAAGCAGCCGTGATCCCCTCGGTCGTCGAGGCTGGAGCCGCCTCGGGACGTTCAGCTCCTTCTTCGTAACGAGGTTGTTGATGGTGTCGATCAGCGCGCTGGGACGGGTAGTGCTGTTGACCGTCGGCGGGTCGCCCGTCCTCGTCTTCCTCTCGCGGCGATCGATCGACTTCTCGACCTCGATGTACATGGTCTTGTCCAGCTGTCGTTTCACACCGGGCTTGTGCTCCCTTCCGGCATCCCAGATGGCGCGCCAGTCCTCTGGCTGCAGCTTGATCGCGGGGTGGCCCGCGGCGCTCGTGGTGAGCTTCTGGGTGGCGTTTCCGATGCGGATCTGGCCCTTCCAGAGCGAGATGTCGATCTTGGAAGGCTGGATGAAGTCCCGGCCTATGAGCAGGCCGAGCGTGGGGCTGTCCACGACGCTGAACACGATGCGGCCGGCCTGGCCGCACAGCACAAGCGGCGCGGTGACGCGCAGCTTGCTGGGTAGGGTGCCTCCATTGCCGAACCTGTAGACCTCGTCCTCTGGCTCCTCGAGAATCTGGTCGGCGAGGCCCATCCTCGTGAGGATGCCCTTGTAGTTGTCGTACCACTTCTTGCCCGAGACGCAGAAAAGGCAGGCGGTGTCGACCACGCCGACGCCATCGTCCTGGGGCTTATCGCTGCCGATCGCGACGTTCACGTTCGGCAGGTGGTGAATGAGCCGCTCCGAGACACAGGCCTCCGGGGGCGGCGTCACGGGGCCCTGTGGGTGCAGGGCGACCTCCTCGTCCGCGAGCTGGACCACCTGGTCGTCGCGCTCGGCGATGTGCGCCTGGCGCTGCGGACGACCTCCACGGCCTCCGCGTCCACCGCCCTTGGACTTACCGTCCTTGGGCGCGAACTTGCGCGCGCCCGGCGCGGGGCATTGGCTGTCCCCCGTCCAGCGCCCGGCCTCGCCGCAATCCCAGCACGTCGAGTTCTTCTTGCGCTGGTCGACCCGGCTCTGCAGCTTGGTCGGTCGGCGGGTCGGCGCGGACTTGTTCGACTTGCCGCGGCCCTTCAGGGCCTCCCGAGCCGACCTAATGGCGGCCATGGCCTCGGGAATGGCGGCAAGCTCCGCCGCGGCAGCTTCGACCTTGGCGGAGTCGTCGCCGTCGAACAGCTCGGAGATGTCCACGTTGGATGACTCGAGCTCGGCGCTGAAGGCTTCGAGCTCCTGACGGACGATGTCTTGTGCATCGGCCTCGTCCTCGTCATCCTCCTCTTGATCTTCGTCGTTCTCGTCGTCTGGCTCGTCGACGACGTTGGTGGAGCGCCCTCCACGGCTGGAGGATGCGTTGCGCCAGCCGCCTTGCGGGCGCGACTGGTTGTTCCACGGTCTCGGCGGCAGGGCGCGGCGCTCCGACGCGTGGGTGTCCGGGAACATCCTGACCAGCAGTCCGCGGATGCGCTGGTAGCCGTAGTGCTCGTCGGGTAGGTTGCCCACAACGCGCTCACGGCGTTCCGCTGCGAGCCCGGCCTTCCGCAGCAGGAACCATCCTGCAACGTCGTCCAGCGCGTTGAGGTCCACCTCGTTCTCGCGTAGCTGCTGTAGTCCAGTCTTGAAACGGATGAGCCAATCCGTCATGCGTTCCCCTCTGCGTCGGTGATGCTGCGTCGACTCGAAAAACTTCTCAAGCGTCTCGCCCTTCTGCACTGGCTTCTGCTGACCTAAGCTGGCCTCCAAGTGCTGCAAGACGTTCTCGATGCCGACCTGATTCCTGTTGCGCTTCTTATCGTCGGCGTCCTCGATGTCCGCTGCGGCTGCCAGGTGCAGCTGTGCCTCCGTCATGTTGAGCGCTGCACTCCGTGCCGTCCCGCTGAGCTTTAGCACGAGCTTCGATGCGAGACTGTGGACCACGGCGAGGTTCTCGCTGAGCTTCCAAAGTTTGACCTCCTGCTTGTAATCTCTCCGTTTTGCTGGGTCGCCATTCCAAGTAGGGATGCAGTTGGCGTAGTTGAAGTTATCCCCCATCTTGTCGAAGATGAAGTAGGCCACGTCGCTGACACTGGCGTAGAGGGAGTAGCTGGCGTCGCTGACACCGTCGTAGGAGAAGTAGGCCGCGTCGCTGACACAGGCGTAGGAGAAGTAGCTGGCGTCGCTGACACCGTTGTAAGAGTTGAAGTAGTGCGCGTCGCTGACGCTGCTGATGAGGGACTTGGCGTAGTCTTGCGAGGGGTAGATGAGGAAGTAGCTGTCGTCGCTGCTGAGGGTCGGAAAGGAGATGGAGTAGCTGGCGTCGCTGACGCTGGCGTTCTTGAGTGGGTAGGAGTCGAAGGCGTAGTCGCTGGCGTCGCTGACGCTGGCGTTGGAGTTGGCAGGGATGTAGGCGTAGTAGGCGTTGGTGCTGGCGTCGCTGACGCTGGCGTAGGCGCTGAGCAACAGCGCGAGGAAGCCGCTGGGCCTCGATTCCAATATGGAGTGCGACGTCGCGGACGTCGTCTTGGATATGTACGGCCCCGCGGGCCGGGATAGCGAGCCTCGCTCCGAGCTACCACTGTGATATGGAATATTATCGCTGATAATGCTTTTCTTTCGCTCTGCGCGGCAGAGGACGTAGCTCAATCGGCCAAGGGCCCTAAAATAATTAGAGCCAAAACGGGCGGCGGCAGAGAGACCCTGGACAGCTGAGCAGCAGCAGCAGAGGGCGAGTGAGAAGAGCAGCGAGTCTTCTGGAATCACACCAGGGTCCCAGGGAGGATATGTAACATGTGGTCTTCTGGGCCCCCAGGCTGGACCACCTCTTGCGCGGCATCTGGGAGCTCAGAGTTGCGAGAATGTCTTGTGCGAAACGGGACGGACAAACTTGCGTACGGCATCTCAGAGCTCAGAGTTGCAAGGATGTCTCAGGCGAAACGGGCCGGTGTCTCGGGCGAAACGTGCTGCGAGGAAGTCTCAGGCGAAAGGGGCCGGACCACCTCGAGCGCGGCATCTCAGAGCTCCGAGTTGCGGGGGCCTCCTGGTGCCTCCTGGGGCCTCCTGGGGCTTCCTCCTGGGCCTCCTGTGGCCTCCTGAACTCCACCTGGGGTTTCCTGAAGCCTCCTGGGGCTCCCAGCGGGAAGTATATAACCTGTGGCCGTTTTGGCTCCTCAAAATGGAGGGGCGCCACAAGAGCAGGGAAAATCAACGAATCGACACCGGATGTGTTTAACTTGACACGTTCTGATAGGGGGCCTCCTGGGGCCTCCTGGGAGCCTCCCGGGAATCTCCTGGGGACCCCTGGGGCCTGTCCTGGGCGTCCTGCGGCCTCCTGGAGCTCTCTGGGGCTCCCGGGCTGGACCACCTCTTGCGCAGCATCTGAGAGCTCAGAGTTGCGAGAATGTCTTGTGCGAAACAGGCCGGACCACCTTGCGCACGGCATCTCAGAGCTCAGAGTTGCGAGGATGTCTCAGGCGAGACGGGCCAGACCACCTCGCGCAGGGCGTCTCAGAGCTCAGAAGTTCGAGGATGTCTCAGGCGGGCTCCCAGGGTCCCAGGGAGGATATGTAACATGTGGTCTTCTGGGCCCCCAGGCTGGACCACCTCTTGCGCGGCATCTGGGAACTCAGAGTTGCGAGAATGTCTTATGCGAAACGGGCCGGACCACCTTGCGCACGGCATCTCAGAGCTCAGAGATGCGAGGATGTCTCAGGCGAGACGGGCCGGACCACCTCGCGCAGGGCATCTCAGAGCTCAGAAGTTCGAGGATGTCTCAGGCGAAACGGGCCGGACCACCTCTCGCGCGGCATCTCCGAGGTCAGAGTTTCGAGGATGTCTCAGGCGAAACGGGCCGGACCACTCGCGCAAGGCATCTCAGAGCTCAGAGTTTCGAGGATGTCTTAGGCGAAACGGCCCGGACCACCTCTCGCACGGCACCTCGGGGCTCAGAGTTTCGAGGATGTCTCAAGCGAAACGGCCCAGACCGCCTCTCGCGCGGCGTCCCGGAGCGCAGCTTTTCGAGGATGTCTCAGGCGAAACGGCCAATCCCGGCCAACTCAGAAACGAGAATTGTGAGGATGTCTCAAGCGAAACGGCCCGGGCCATCAAATTTTTGTGATGATGTTTCTGCTTCCACATCCCTCGGCCGGAGTTAGCTTCTATCACAACAGCACCCCGTTCAGCAAGCTGTTTTGGGAATGATGATGATGATGATGATGATGATGATGATGATGATGATGATGATGATGATGATGATGCTGATGCTGATGCTGATGCTGATGCTGATGCTGATGCTGATGCTGATGCTGATGCTGATGATGATGATGATGATGATGATGATGATGATGATGATGATGATGATGATGATGATGATGATGATGATGATGATGGTGCTGGTGCTGGTGCTGGTGGTGGTGGTGGTGGTGGTGGTGGTGGTGGTGGTGGTGGTGATGATGATGATGATGATGATGATGATGATGATGATGATGATGATGATGATGATGATGATGATGATGATGATGATGATGATTATTACGATGAAGGTGATGACAATGATGATGATGCTGATGTTGATGGTAATAGAGCGGGCTCCGTTTGCAGCTGGGGCAGAGAGAGTCTTGTATATATTCCATAGGATTTCTGGTCTCGACCATATGCAGCCCGGCCCCCAGATTGCGGTCCTTGCAGCATTGTACACGCTCACAAGCAACCTCTTCTGGGCAGGCCTGCGATCGGTTCCTGTGCCGGAGCCGAGCCTCTCCGCCGAGGCGGGGAATGTCGTCGCCGCGGCCGCAGGGGCCGCTCTGGACGCCGCCGAATCGGCGGAGCGGGCGGAGGCCGCCTCTGGGGCGGCAGGCGCCTCGTGCGAGGGGGCGGCAGCCCGCCTCGACTCGCTGGAGGCGCGCGTCCTGGAGCTGGCCCAGCTGCTCCAGTCGAGCGGAGGGATCCCCCTCGGCGCGCCGCCGCCGAGCCCCGAGCCACCAGCCAGTCCGTGGGCGGCTCTCTCGGCGGGTCTCGCGGCGCTGCTGGGCAGCTGGGTGCTGGACGTTGTCAAGACTGGTGTCGCCTGTTGTATCGTTCCTGTCCCGTGCCCTTGTCGTCGACGCGATGGCAGCAGCTCTAGCGAATCTGGGCGCCGACCGAGCGCAGTACAGCCGGAGCGGCCAGGCCATCGCGGTGGCGGAGTGGTGCGCTAGGCTGGTGTCGGGCCTCCACGTGGGCGTGTTCTACCCGACCGACCCCGCCTTCTGGCACGAACGCATACTGCTGTGGCCTGCCTCTGGTGACACCGTTCCGCGGCACTGGTACGTGGTCACACCAGACAGCGACGTGTACGCCGAGACCGTGACCGCAGGCTTGGGATGGGGCTCTCGGTTTGCCATTCTGGACGACGCAGGCGGGAACCCGATCATACCCGGGGGGGCGCTGTATGCTTTCCAGCAGCTCCCTACGGACGAGGTTCTCCAGGGCTGGATCGCGGAGGCCATCGCCGACTCAGTGGCTGCAGGTATCGTCGTTCTTGGCCCGTCCGACCTGATGTATCTTCAGCGCGACGGGCAGGAGGTGCCGCTCGGTGACGTGGTTCCCTTGCCACCCGCGCTGCCAGCGGCCGCCCCCGAGGCGGCCGATGCCGTCGGTGACCTGGGTGGAACCAGCCCGAAAGAGGTGCGGGGCAACCTGTTCGCAAGTTCGCGCGCGCGCGTATCCGCGCCCGTCGCGATCAGGGAAAGGAGCGGTTACTCGAGAGCCAAGCCCGCTGGGGGATTTGCCCCGAGGTCTGCCACCTCCCATGCTTCCAGCAGATGCTGGAATACGCGGGGGCAGTGATCATCCCCGGATCCATGTGCGCGTGCGGCCCGCGGCCCAGCTGCGGGCCCAGGGGGCGGCGCCTGGGGGGCCCTCGAGGGCCATGGAGAGAGGGGGGGTGGGGCATAATCTAGAGAGACCAGCCAGAAGCCCGCAGGCGTGGGCGCATGATCTACGCTGGCACTGCGAAGCCCTCCTCCAGTATATGCCAGGGGCCTGCCGAGAAGATGGCGGGCTGGCGGCCGCAGCGGGGGGCAGGGGGGCGGGCGAAGTGGAGTGCCGCAAGGCCTGGGCCAGCAGGCGCGGTAATATTTTAGCAGGGGTCTTGGGCGCGGATTTCGGTGAATTCTGGAATTTCTGCGAATGCTCCCGGAAGGTGGTCCAGGCAGGGGCCCCCTCGAGACAACCGCTGGCGCTCGCGCGGAGGCCCTCGAAACCTCGCGAAGGCGTCCGGGGACGGACGGGGGCGGCAATGGGGGAGCTTTTTGGAAGGGCGCCAAGAAAGGGAGGTTATTGCTATAAGGAAAGGACTCGGGGCCTTACCTCTAAGGGGCGATGGCGTCGCCGCGGGGGGGTTCCCATGATGAGCTCAGACCGCGTGGCGTCAGAGGAAGGGGGGTTCATCCATGGCCAGCGCGCCGTGGACGAGTCAGGGCACAAGTGCTGGTGCCCCCCAGCCCTGCAGCCCTGGCGCCGGGCGCTGGCGAGGGAGGTCCTATGGCGGAAGTGGCGTCGCCCCGGGATCCCCGTCAAACTGGCGAAGAGGGGCGTGGCGGAAGCCTGCAAGTGGATTTGGCTCCGCGCCCCGGACATGGGGGCGTTGGGAATGGAGGGGGACATGGTCGCCATCTACCTGGTGCGCACCATCGGATGGATCGGATGCCCAGGAGAACGCGCTGCCTTCGGGGGCGCTCTGAAGCAGCGCCGCGACCGACGGCGCCCTGAGCTCCCGGGTTGGCACGACGGGGCGCCCCACCATTCACACTTCCCGATGGATGGCGACGTTCTCATTGAGCCGGACCTGAGGCGGCGCGCCTGGATGGCGGGGTTGTTAACGGCCGAGGAGGGGGCCCGCTGCATCTTCGGGCCCCGTGCCATCAAAGCTGAAATGCGGAGCGAGGAGGGTGAATTTGCCCCTGGGCAAATCTGCGGGGGATCCTGGCAAACGCCCAGGAGGAGTCCTGCGGCTTCTGAAGGGAGGTCTGCAAGATACAGATCATGCTCCAGGAGTCAACCTTCGATGCTGGAATGACCTCGGCCCCCCTGCGGGGCGTGCCTGTCCAGCGGGTTACCGTGGGCTTTTCTGCGGTGGGTGCCCTGCGTTGCTCCCCGAGCTGGGCGCTGTAGATCGGCCCCTCAGGGCGGCGGGCCCCGCTTGGGCGACGGTGGAGATCGCCCCAGAAAAGCCCGGGCAGGTGGAGGCAGCGTGGAGGCGTGGAAGGAGTGGTGGGAGGCCCTCGAAGCGCTTCGACTCTACGCGGGGGTGCCCCAAGCCTGGGCGGTCCACGTCGCGGCGGGCCTGAAATCCGCGATGGAACCCTGGGAGCGCATGGCCCTCCGTGGAGGCGTGGAGGAAACCGTTTTGATCGGAGGGGGCGCCGCCGAGATCTGGGCGGGGGCAGCAGACTGGGCCCGCGGAGTGCACGGGGCCATGGGCGCGAATGAGGCGATGCATCCTTCTGGCAAACCTTCGGGGAGGGAGACGAGTCCTTTCGCTCTGCGAGCTGTTCGCCATCCTGGTCCTGGCCGCCGCCTGCCCCCCCGCTGGAAGGGGCGGCTGGCGTTGCGTGTCTCCGACAACGCCAGCGCCGAGGCATGGCTGCGCAGGAGGGGCGCGAAGGACATGGCGCGGCGCGGGCTCCGACTCCCGCGGTTGCTGGGGGCCCGCCGCTGGTTTCGGGGCGCCGCCGCCGGCGTTTGGACCGAGCCCGACCTCTGCATGGGCGCACTCTCCTGAGACGCCCTGGAGGAGGTGCGGGGGGGGGGGGCGCGGGCCGGTTGGGCCTGGCCGAGGAAGACCGGCGTGGCCCTTGGGCCCTTCTCCGGGAAAACATCCGGAGTGGGGGGCCATGGTCCTCCCGCGCGAGTCAGAGGAGCATCGGCGCATGGCGTGCCAACTCATGGGAAGGCGGAGGGTCGGACGCCCTAGCGTTCAGCCCCTTGCAGGAGTCCACCTCTTCGAGCGCAGAGCTACCCTCGCCTCCCGCGGCAGGGTCGCGGGGGGGCTGGGGGCCGGTGGACATGGCCCTCCCGCCTCGGGGGTCGACGGTCAGTCATCGCGGCTGGGGCCGCCATGCCGCCCAGCTCCAGGCCCGCTTCGGGAAAAGGGATTGGGGTGGCGCCGTGGAGAAGTGCGTGGCGGTCTCCTTGGGGCCGAGCCCCGAGCGCCTGGGTGGGGCTCTACGCAGCACGCTTCGCGATGAGGCACGGGGCTGCCGCGGTCGTGCTAGACGGGCCCGCGGGGCTAGGCATCGATCAAGCACGGGCGATCCTCGCGCTTGAAGGCTACGCGGTTGTAAAGGGATACCTTCAAACCGCCACCACGGGGATGCCCGTTCGAGGCCGCGGGCCCCGCTGTTCGCTCGGCGAGGCCGAGGGGCCTGGGGGGGGGATCCTCGCGCAACGGAAGGGGGGCAGGCGGACTAGACCGGTTCCCTTATCCACCACCCTACATCCGCTGGAGGCAGTAGACCGCGCCCTGGAGCTGGAAGTAAGGGCGGAATGGCGCGGGCGCCGCCGTGGCGGAAGCCCCGGCGCTGAAGAACCGTCCAGCGCGCCATTGGCGGAGGGGGCGCTCCGGGCCTCGTCTGGGCACAACGCCCGGGATCGATGTTCTATAATTCCTTGGAAGCGGTTCCAAGTGAATAGAGACAGCGATCCCACTGGGATCGCTTCTCTAGACCCTTGGGAATCCATTCCGAGGGTTTGCCTTCCTGCGCGCGTTCAGTGGCCGCCCTTGGTGGGCTCCCTTAGTGAGCGCCCTTAGTGGGCGCCCTTAGTGGGCGCCCTTCGTGGGCGCCCTTAGTGGGCGCCCTTCGTGGGCGCCCTTAGTGGGCGCCCTTCGCGGGCGCCCTTCGTTGGCTCCGTGGGCGCCCTTTGCGGGCGCAATTCGTCGATTCCGTGGGCGTCCCTAGTGGGCTCCTTCAGCGGGCGCCCTTAGTGGGCGCCCTTCGTCGATTCCGTGGGCGTCCCTAGTGGGCTCCTTCAGTTGGCGCCTTACGTGGGCGCCTCCGTGGGCGCCTCACCCTGCGTGGGCGCCTTCAGTGAGCGCCCTCAGTAGGCGCCCACAGTGGGCGCCTCCAGCAAGCGCCTTATGGGGGCGCCCTACGTGAGCGCCCTGCGTGGGCGCCCTAGGTGGGCGCCTTCAGCAGGCGCCCTAGCAGGCCCCCGCGGAATTCAAATGAAAATGTGAATTCATTAGAAGACAATGTTTTTTGGATTCCGTGGGGTTCCGTTGATTTTTTTTCAGAACTCTTCGGACTTTTATTGGAATTGTAGAACTCTGCGGCGAACCCGGTGGCCGCAGCGCCGGCGGCGGGCGGCGGCGGGCGGCGGCGAGAAGAAGGAGGAGAGGAAGGCCGCGGCCGTGGAGGAGGAGGAGGAGGACGTGGTCTTCGACCTTTTCGGCTGAGCGCACCGCGGCGGCGGCGAGCGCGCGGGCATTCCACTAGTATGCGCCGACGGCCCGAACATTTTCCGAGAGAGCTTCCAGCGCAATTCCGCGGGGTAGGTGGGCGGGCGCGAAAACGGGCGGGAACGCGGTATCGGCAGTCGCGCTTTGGGAATGGGGAATCATTGCTTTTCAATAGTGTGTTTCAAGGTGTTCCTCCCTTTCCGCGGAGTGCGTGGGCGGGCGTGGGGGCGGGCGCAGACGCGGCGGCAGCAATGGCGCATTCCTTTTTCATGGGGTGCGCGGGCGGGCGCGGGAACGGGCGCGGACACGGTGGCGGTAATGGCGCGCTTGGGAAAAAGGAAAACCATAGTGTTTCATAGGTTGTTCTGGTTTCATTCCCTTTTCGGGGGGTGCGCGGGCGGGCGCAGGAACGGGCGCGGACGCGGCAGCGGTGATGACGCGCTTGGGAGGAGGAAACTACAGCCTTTCATTTTCGTTTGGGATTTGACTTTCTGTTCGCGGGATGCGCGGGCGGGCGCCCGAACGGGCGCGGACGCGGTAGCGGCAATTGACCGTTCGGGAGGGGGGAACTTTTGTTGTTCATTGATTTCTTTGGTTCTAACTTGTTCGTGGGGTGCGCGGGCGGGCCGCGGGGGCGGGCGAGGGCGCGGTCGCATTCCACGGGAATTGCCCGAACAAGATATTTTTCGGATTCCCTTCGGACCCCGTAGGAATCGATTCCCAGCGTTTTCAAAACAATCCCGCGAACGATTCCCCACAATTTCTGTGTATTCGACACCCATGACAATCCGAAACATAGAATTTGGAGTGTTCCGAAAAGCACCCTTGGGATCGCCTTCGGGTTCCTTGGGGATCGACTCCCAGGTATTGCGCAAACGATCCTGGGACCATTGTCGGATAATCCCTATCTATTCGACACCCCAGACAACTTGAAAACCATAATTTTGGATGTTAAGACAAAGCCGTGGGAGCGCCTTCGGGATCCCTGGGAAGCGATTCCCAGGAATTCCAAAAGCGATCCTGGGATCATTTCCGGAATCCTTGGGAAGCGATTCCCAGGGATTCCAAAAGCGATCCTGGGATCTTTTTCGGAATCCCTGGGAAACGATTCCCAGGGATTCTGGGGGTGATCCTGGGATCTCCCTGGAACATCGATTTTAAGGGATTCCGATGGTGGTGTGTGTGTGTGGTGTGGTGTGATGTTTCGTATTGTCTCGTGATGTCCCGTGGTGTGTTGGTGCCTCGTGGTGTCTCGTGGTCCTCGCGGTGGTTCGTGGTGTCTCCGCGCGTGTGGTGCGTGCGTGGTGTGGCGTGGTGTGTGTGTGTGTGTGTGTGTGGTGTGGTGCGGTGTGTGGTAGGCCTGGTGTGATGTGGTGTGGTGTCCCGTGGTGTCTCGTGGTGTCTCATGTCGGCTCGTGGTGTCTCGTGGTCCCATCGGTGTCTCGTGGTGTCTCCGCGCGCCTCGGTCCCAATGCCACGACATGTTTTGGCATGCACTGCAATGCTCGGTTTGTTCCCCGCGATGCGATATTATTCCTTGCGCTGCTATGCTTTGGTATGCAGTGCTTGGTTGCACCATTCTGCAACATGCAAATGATGCAAGGGTGCACGATTATCTTCAGCGCCATGTTACGCCATGGCATCATATGCGTCGCCTATTATTCGGGATAACTGCTTCTTTCGACATCTGCATGTGCGAACACAGCGGAGCTGTACGCAACTGTAAGGGAGGTGCAAAACGTTAGGTATGACGCGAGCGCACCGAGCTTGTCCGCAGTCCTTTCTGGTCGTTGCGCGCTTATGTTTCTTCTGACCCGCCCCCTCTTCAGGAGGGGTGTGGGGGGGCAGGGGGAAGTGCGCGTCGACGCGGCGGTGACCCCAGCGTGGGCGTTCAAGGCTGAACGCGCCTCGGGGGGCAGTTCGGGCCCCAGGACCCAGAGACACGAACCCGCGGGGGCGAAATCACTGCGTAAGCCGTAGCTACGCTGGGCCCAGCGCGATATATATATATATATATATATATATATATATATATATATATATATATATTCCCTTTTCTATATTTTTACAATCCGGGGGGGTGGGAACCCCCCCCCCCCGAAAATCGGACCCCCGGGATCTGGCGCTTTTGGGGCCCCCTGGACGCCTTGCAAGGGGTCCCCCGGGCCTTCCGGGCCTCCTGGACGCCCCTGCCGGGCCTTGGCAGCGGGCCCAAAGCGGTCAGGAGGGCGGCCAAACGGCCCCGCGAAAGCCCCACGCGGCCCCAGACAGCCCCAAGACGCCCGAAGACGACCCAAAGAAGACCCCCAAGAGGTCCTCCAAGTGCAAAAAAACAACACTTTCCTTTCCTTTCCTTTCCTTTTTTTGTTAAAAAAAGAAGGAATTTTTGGACATTCGGTTCCTCGGTATTCCGTGCGTCCGAGTCCGCCGAAGAGGCCCCAAAAATCCTCCCACAACGGTGTCAAAGGGCTTCCAGACAGTCCAAAAGAGCCCCAATATGGTCCAACAGGGCCGCAAGATGGCCCCAAGAGAGCCCCGCTGACAGCCCCAGATGGCCCCAAGACGCCTCCCGAAGCACTCCAAATCGTGACCCGGTCGTTCAGGGAGACCGTGGTTGGTAGCAAGGTGGCCGCAAGAAGCCCCCAGAGGCCCCCAAAAGGCGCCCAGGAGGCCCCCAGAGGTTCCCAAAAAGCTTTTGAGAGGGGCCCAGGAACACCTCCAAAGAGGAGCCCCTGCAATGAAAACTGGGGATGAGGACAAGGAGTGGCTCGCAGACAAGGAAGATTACGAGTAAGAGGAGAGGAAGTATAGGGATAGTACATAACATTACTATAACGACGATGGCGCAAACGGCAACAATGAATCATCGCTATGTTTGGTTCTCCTGCATGCCGAGCTTTAAGAACCAAGGTGCATGGCGCGAAGCGCCAATGCAGTCTTGTGTGTGTATATATATTTGTAGTTGTATATATATATATTATATATATATATATATATATATATTATATATTATATATATATATATATATATATATATATATATATATATATATATATATATATTCGTAAGGGCTTCGCCCCATGCCGCCAGCCCCCTGTCTCGGACAATGGGAGATGCAAAAGCTAAATAATGAGGTCTGGGCGCCGCCGTGAAGCAGTGTCGGGAACCGTGTGTTTTTCGTTCCCGACCCTACGGATCTGCGTGAGGGGTGCCACCGAATTTCAGAAATGTGGCCTGACCCTACGGATCTGGGGTGCCGCCGAATTTCAAACATGTGGCAAATCCCCTGTGCCACCGAATTTCAGAAATGTTGAGAATCCCTTGGATTTTCGGACCCTGACCCCGCCGATCTGCGTGAGGGGTGCCATCGAATTTCAGAAATGTGGCAAATCCCATGTGTTCTGGACTCTGACCCCGCCGATCTGCGTGAGGGGTGCCAGCGAATTATTGCAAATCCTTTGTGTTTTTGCTCTCTGACCCCGCCGATCTGCGTAAGGGGTGCCACTCAATGTTAGAAATGTTGCAGATCCCTTTTGTTTTTGCGCCCTGACCCCGCCGATCTGCGTGAGGGGTGCCACTGAATGTTAGAAGTGTGGCAAATCCCTTGTGTTTTTGGACCCTGACGCCGCCGATCTGCGTGAGGGGTGCCAGCAAATTCTAGACGCTTCGCGTATCCCCACCAGTAAGATACGCCATCGGCGGGGATCACTTAGATCGCGCTATAAGCGACGCACGAGACGTTACGGACCTCAGTAGACGCTGGTGGCACAATAGAGACAGCCTACACTCCCAGGCAGCAGAAGTAATGAGAGGTGCACTACAAGCAGCCGCACGCACCGACTGGCGCCCAATACATCCCCAAATGGGACAGGGTACCCCCCTGGGGAACCTCGTCACAGATGCCGTCATCAGGCGACTGGACTCAGACAGTAGGGGTCAGTACCAAGTGCGTGCTGGGCGTCCCAGCGACGGGCACTCTCCCATGGATGTGGACAACCCCTGCAGCGACAGGGCGAGCCACGCGGGCGGGGAAGGAGTCGGAACGAGACCCCCCCAGAGACCCCCCCCAGACCCGGTGGAGGGGCTATCCCAAGCGGAGCGCTCCCAGCGAGAGGCATTCATCGAAGAGGTGCGGAGGATCAGGAGGAGGGTTGCCAGCAACTCCGTCACGCCAGGCATGCGGTGGAGCAGAATCTTGGTCCCCTTCATATGGGGCACTGCGACTGATAGAGGTCGGAGCGTGCTCGAGCAGGCCTTTACGAGCAGCAACATTAGCACCACCATCATCGACCAGGCAGCAGCTTGGTGGAGAGCACGAGGCGTCAGCTCCTACAGAGATGCCCAGTTAGTACTCGCGTCCGAAACAGACATATCGTCCAGGGCAGCCGGTGCCACGTTCGAGGCCCCCGAAGTAGGCGGCTACATCGCACCCCTGCTCCAGGAACGAATGATGCTGCACCTGGACGCAAATGGCTTCCTACAGACTGCCATCCTGTCAGGGGATCGGCAGGCAGTAGAGGCTGGGGCGAGGGTGCGCGCGCAGCTGGCCAGTACCGAGCTGAGGCCAAACCCAAGGAATCACGGGCCCACGTTCGAAGGCAGGGTTCGCCCTGGAGCGGAGGCCGAGACTGTGGAAGCCGCAAGCACAACTACGCCCTGGCACGCGGACATACGACAGCTGCTCAATCGAGCAAGCTTTGCTACCCCCCAGGGCAGATTACCATCTGGCAGCACCAGAGAAGAGCTCCTGGACAGACTCATCCGCACTCTTGACGCCAGACAACGGGACGAGGAGGGGGCGGGCAGAGGGACCATGCCGGCCCCGGAAGGAAGGACCTCCGTCAACGGAGATCAGGCACAGTGCCTGGCACAGAGTATGCTGCTGGAGCACAGGGTAGATCGACAACCAGGTCCTTGGATCTCTAGAGCCCTGTGGCTCTGCCTGGCACCGCACTACTTCCCCCTCCTCAGACCAGTACTGACTGTGCGGGCAGTGGACTCCCGACCCTACGACGTTCTCTACCGCTGAATGACCAGGAACGAGATACACACGCCGGAGGACGTGGTTACCTGTCTCCGAAGGGAGTTGCCTGATGCCGATCTAGCGCCATACTCCGAACTCACCAACCTACAAATCCAAACCCTCATATGCCATCTCAGTGAGGGAGCTAGTCTGACGCACCTTGACGCTAGTGTTTCCGCCAGAGCCCTCATCGAGAGCTTGGGGGACGGCCTTTCCCAACTCAGCCACCCCCCTGGAGACGACGCCAGACTTCCCTTGGAAAGCATGGACGCCGTGGACGTTCCCCCTTGGGACCTGGACATAGGTACTCCCCTATGCATGATCAGCAGTGAAAACATCTTGGGCTTCGCGGAAGTCCTGATGCCTTGCGGCCACCTTTTCCACGCCGAGTGTCTGAGACAGCGGAGGGTGAGCCAGCCAACGCAGGCCCACTCCCACGGAATATGCTTCCCAGCGAACTGCCCTAATTGCCGCTCCAATGATAGGGGTAGCGTCACCGTAGGGTTGCCAGGACGAGTCCGAGACGCCGACGCTGCAGCGGTGGCGGTGCCACCAGACCCCCTGCAACTCCGCGATGGGGCCTTGCCCCCGGTGCAGCCCTTCCTGAGTCTGCAGGAGTTAGCCGAGGCAGTCAGACACTTGGCCATGGGCCTGGACTGCCTCAGAGCGCAAGCACTCTCCATCCGACGGCCCCGCACTTATGTCGCGCTTTCGGATATGCGCAGAATTCGCGGGCACGTAGCCGAGAGGAGGACCGCTCAGGAGACACGTCAGGCCCCGATGGATGTGGACGGAACCCCACCTGACGGTGGAAACGGTGGAAGCGGCATGGACCCCGATGACACGCATGACAGCTCGCAGGGCCCTGCGACCCCGCCCCCACAGCGACCCCTCGGCCCCGCCAACAGGGCGGATAGGATACGGCAAGCCCCGCGGATCACCTTTGGGAGATGGGCCCTTCTGCTGGGGCGGAACCCGCCAGAGGACGAACCCAGGATGATAGGACCTATGCGGTTCCCGGTGGGGCTGCTAACCACGGCCGTCCGAGATATCGCAGCTGATCTGGTAATTTCCAGAAGCACGTACGTCGGCGAACGAGTAGCTGATGAGACCGGAGTCGCCTTCGCCCTGGCAGGCCCGACGCCTGGGAGCAGATCAAAGCAGTAGTCACAGAGCGCAGGAACCAGCCCCCAGGGAGTGCCGCCCCAACGATCCTCGTGGTCGATGCCCTAGCTCCACAGATGGATGCTGCCCTGGCGGCAGTTTCTGCCGCGGGTAGCCCATGCTGTGTCATCGCCTTGGCCGCCGAGGGAGTGCCACCCCCGGGAGGGCTGGATCCGGTCGAGCTCGCGGCCCTGGCAAACGCGCAATGGGGATGCCGAGCGGCCAGCAAAATCACCCACCTCGTCCCGATCGGTTACCCCTACCGAACTGGCAAGCCCAGCCCCCCAATGCAGCAGCTTTTTGCCGCTCAATTTGACTTAGCGGGCAGGACACTGCGCGCGATTCTGCCCCCGTCAATAGTCGCGCACTGGGGAGGGAGGAGTGGGGGCACCTCTGACGCACTACACATCCTAACCCCTGAGAGCGGCGACGACGGTGTCGTCGCGCAGATCATGAGGTGGAAGGAGGAACTAAGACGATCCCACAACGGCACGATCGCGGCCGACTGGGTCACCACGAGAGTGCAACTCCCCCGTGACGAACTACTAAGACACCAGGGACTCGATATGCTCTTCCATCACGTCCTTCGCTGCCGAGCGGCGAGACCCGTGAACGGAGAAGACGGCTCGCGTGCCCCCCTGGATAACTTGCAGGCGGCAGCTCAAATCACCACGCTGGCCCACCAGACGGCGTGCGTCTGGAGAACCCACGAGACAAGTGATTCAGTGCACATCCCAGTTCCCTCCAGGGCGGTTTGCATAGCCCACCCCGTTGCTTCCGCAACAGCCGGAGCCATGGGACACAGAGTGGGAATTTGCGGGGCGGGGCTTCTCCTGATCGCCACTCCAGAAAGGATTGCTGCCCCCGTCTTGAGACACCTCCGGGACGAGCTTCCGCGTGTCTTTGGAGACGGTTCCTCCTCCACGGCGCTAGGACCGCGCCGCATCCTCCTGGAAGGACCCTGGGACGGTGGACCCTCGTTCGGGCGCCTTTCCGACCCTGAGGACGGCTTCCACCTGCGGTGGAACCTCGCTGACATGGGACAAACACGGCCGACGGGCGTCCTGCAAGCCGTAGAGGCCACCACCAGTCCGGACACGGTCGAGCAGGTTTCCACCGTGCACGCCTGGTTCCCAGACGTCTCTGTCTACAGGTACATGACGCAAGTCCACATACGCCTGGCTGCGGCCGACGCCATGGCGGCAGCCTTCGTGGGCACCAGCTGCGTAGTGATCGGAGCCCAGACCGTCGGGATCTTCCCTGTGACGCCCAGCAGGGACCCCATGCACAGAGCAGCTGCGGTATCCAGGGAGCTACAGGAACATGTGGACGCACTGGCCAGCATCTCGGTCCGGCAAGCCCCTAGACGCGCCGTTCAACCCCAAGTCCTCGAGATCACCACGCTTGACAGGCACGGGGCGCAGCTCGGAGAAGTTCGCCCCCGCAGCATGCGCCCCGACGCGTGGCTCCCTGGACACAACACGTTACGGCTCTACTCTGCCGCGGTCGGCTCGGCGAACGCGCAGATACTAACCCGGCTCTGGCCACTCCCGGATGGCCCGGACGGTGCCTCGCGCCCAGCCAACACCAGAGCTGCCCCACCTACCATCACAGGGGATTGGCTCCGGGACAATGCTAGGGCGATGAGCAGGAGTGCGCCCAACACGGTACCCAGCGTGTTTCAGGAGAGTGGCCTGCGGGACTACGAGACTGTCCTTCAGCCTGGAGAATACCTGCTTGCTGCAATAGCGGCCGGTGGAGCCGTCGAGGTCACCGCGAGCGGCGAAGCTGGTTTCCTCTTCACGTCAGTCCCCACCTGGGTGACGATACTCCTCCCTGCTGACGCTGACATTAGGGCAGCCGCGAGAGGTGCAGACAGACCACGAGCCAGACTCAAACTGCAGCTCGCTGCGGGCCCAATTCACGTCGCGCGCCTGGACTCCGCCCCTGCAGCCACACCAACCCCCGCCTCCGTGGGGCTGCGGGTCAACGCTCCTTCCCAGCAGTCACTTCCTAGGCGCACCTCTGCATCCCTCAACCCACTCCCGGGGCCCGCCAGGCCCACGCACTTCCCGGGACTTGCCGGGGTGCTAGTGAGTACATGTAGGCCCTCCCCAGCCGAACTGGTGAGAGCCGACGAAGACGCAGTACGCATCGCACGTGGCATGTTGGGTAGATTCGCCGCCGTGGTCTCAGAGCAAGCGATCCACGACATGGCGCGTGGTATCCAGCGCCGGATCGCCTTCGAAATCCGCAGGCAACTCGAAGGCCGGCCCATGCAAAGGTACAACTGGGACATGTTCGCCGCAATCTGGATCCTTCAGCTGGCCAACCCGGGGAGCCTAGACCGTGACCACGTCTGGCAGTTCATCCGAGAGCTCGGGATCCGAGAAGAGGTCACGAGACAGCTCCCCTTCACGCAATGGCTCGCGCCTGAGCCTGACGACACCTACTCAGCCCACCAGCCCTGGCTCGAAGTCCCTGGATCCAGAGGCGCAGACGTCGACGCCGCCGCAGCGCTTTCCATCCCAGAAAACGTCACTAGTGCCCTGGACGCCCTGATCAACAGGCTTTCAAACCTACACTGGGAGGAGCGGCAGCGCCACGACCCGGCAGAGCAACTCGGGGACGGAGAGGAGGTTCCCAGGCATCCAGAGCCGCTGGAACAGGGGACAGGCCAGCTGACAACCCAGGTGCGAGCCAGCGCAGAAGTGTCGCAGCCGGGCGAACATCGAGACGGATGCTGCAGGCGCGCAAGCCAGCGACTCGAAGCTGCCCACCACTACAGGTTCTGGATTGCCAGCCCCACCGGCAGGCCCTGGGCTCCCCGCAACAGCGACATCACAGGCAAGGACAAGCCCCAACTGTGGAGCTATAGACGCCCCTGTTATGACCACGCAGGGGGCGCAACCTCAGACCCAGCCGGCTGCGCCCGAGCAGAGTGCGACACCACCTTCCCCTGCCAGACCGACGGGCGACGGAGAGGCGGACAATGGCGCAAGCCGTGACACTAACATCAGCCAAATCCCACCGCGGGCGACTCCTGCGAACCCCGCGACACCCAGGGAGGGACCGGCGCGGACTCGTGCCCCGGTCCGCACAACCATGCCGAGCCCTGGCGCAGCTGAAGTCCTCTCCCCAACTGTCAACTCTGCAGAAACAGCGGGAGGAGATAGCGCGGGCCCCGCAGGACGTCTCGAGAGCCACACCTGCGTGAACGTCCCTGGAAGCGTTCGGACCTCTCCAGTGGAGGCAATTACCAGCACGGAGCAGCGCATGACGGGAAGGGGTGGAACCACGACCCCGGGCCGCACCGAAGACGCGCAGTGTACGCCCGCGGCCGCTAGGGCTGCGGGCATGGAGGGCACGGCGGGCA